GCATAAAATGTGAGATATATATAAAACACTTTTCACAAGGCAAGATTTTTTTAAAAAGGTAAAGCTAGTATGATTTAAGAGATTAGGAGGAAAGATGATTAAAGGGGCTAAGGTGATTCAGCCACAAAACAATACTCTGAGTGGTAAGAGGCAAGCTAGAGATAATAAGCCAAAAGTATGCAGAATACAAGCACCTTGAGAGACCAGGGGTTCAATTTTATAGAAATGACAGCAGCCTGATTTCAAGGGCATCAGGCCCTTCTGCAGAGGCACGAGGGTTTTCTCTACCATGCAGAGGAAGAATCCTGAAGACACCCCATGCTCTTGCAACACTCACAGCTTCTTACAGTTCTGTTTCCTGCCTGGCCCCTGAAGGCATTGATGAGCCCCTTACTAACTCATAGCTCTAGTCTCCTAAAACAATTGCCATCCGTGACTCACCGGAGGTCCCACCTCCAGCGTCTGGCTACATCTCAGATCCCCAAGGGGACAGGAAAGGAGAAAAGCCCCTGTTTGTCATGTAGCCCGGACACAGCCCCATCTGCCCCACTGCTCCTCAGCCACCAGGCATCCAGGCAGACAGGAGCCCAGCAGCTGTCCTTTCTGGGACATGCAGTGTGAACAGAACACAGGAGCAGGACTGAGTGATGGTTAAGGGCAGAGATTCTTGGGTTTGAGTCCTGGCTTTACTATTAACTGTGCGACCCTGGGGAATTGCTTAATTATTCTGTGCCTTAGTCTCCCCGTCTGAAAAAGAGAGGTGATAATAATAGTACCAACTTCATAGGGCTGAGAGGATGAATGATTAACAAATATAAATGGTACAGAGTGAGCACTAGGTAAGTGATAACCAAACCAAACTGGTTGCTGTAGAGCCTGTCTGACTTATGGCGACCCCATGTGTGTCAGAGTAGAACTGCACTCCACAGGGTTTTCAGTGGCTATGACCTTTCAGAAGTAGATCCCAGGCCTTTCTTCAGAGGCACCTCTGGGTGGATTAGAACCACAAACATTTTGTTTAGTAGCTAAGTGCTTAGCCGTTTGTGCCACCCAGGCAGATGTGATAAAGTGATAGCTGCTATTACTATTATTTCATATTATTATTGATGGAGCCCTGGTGGTGCAGTGGTTAAGAGCTACAGCTGCTAACTAAAAGGTCAGCAGTTCAAATCCACCAGCCCCTCCTTGGAAACCCTATGAGGCAGTTCTACTCTGTCCTGTAG